ACTAGCTTCCTATTAAACTGACCTTACGTTTCTTCTCGCAGAATTTCTGTAGTTGTTCAACTACATATACTGAGAGTATTACCAATTAGTACTGGATAAATTGTCCACATGGTTTTCTTTATACAGTTCGTTATTAGTAATAAGTAGAAGATATTCTAGTAGTAATAGCAGTAGTTATATCTGATACCATCGTATTCGCCTAGAAAGGGGAAAAAGATGGTGAAGAGCTACGAAAATAGGTCTCCTCATGACCCCCACAAATTACATAGGCTCGTTAAAACCTACCGTAGACGCTAAGATCCTCAAGATGATTCTAATGCCGTCACTAATGCAGATAAGGTCTATGTCTCCCTGGGTACTGCCGGAACGTACCCTGGCTACGGTCCGGTATACCGGAACGTACCCTGGTAACTATCTGATATGGTTAGGGTTAGGGTTAGGGAGTAGGCGTAGGCGACTCCCTACACTCGTTAGTGGAGTAGGCCAGGTACGGTCCGGCATATTAGATAGTTACCAGGGTACGTTCCGGTATACCGGACCGTACCCAGGGTACGTTCCGGCGGTACCCAGGGAGACATAGGCCCTATCAGCGTCACTAAGTAATGTCGTGTAAAAATGATTGTCTCGTGATCACATTGATGTATATTCTCATCTATCGAACACCGGGGCAGTATCGGTCATTCCTAGTGAACATACACACCGCCGATAGAGCGAGACATATTAGTACTTATATTCCAAATGTAAACGACACGCGATTTCCGTCTCGAGTAGTGTAGCAAGGAGAGTTTTAAACGCATTTTTTTAATGAGACGAATACGGAGATGTTTTGGCCGCCATGAATAATGAGAAGGGGATTTGCTGAAACCAGACACGACACGGCATCCTTGCGTGGAGTGTTTATGTATCCGGATGCCTGCGCCGGATTCACGTCACACATATCACCCTCCTCCAGCTTCTCTTCCCCATCTCTCTCTCTCTCTCTCTTCCTCGGGTTGAATACATGTTGCATTATACGTTTAGATAGGAATAGTGTTACCTTACATGCTCCGCAAAGGCAGACGGTACATTTTGGGTAAATGCCGATCTTTTTAGGCACTGTCGATTAAAACTGATCGACCCTTGACCTAATTCGTTCTAATTACCAATAATCAGAGCATGCTCTGTTACAATAGGGAGCACCGCTAAAGTTGTTCATCATCTTTTTCTCGCGTAAAATTAACTAGGACCCCGTTTAACCAACAGGTGGCGCAACATGTCTGTTTAGAAGTGCTAACGGTGACGCTACACCTTGAAGGCAACAGACGTTACTACTGATACAAACGTTTTTAGCCGTTTAAAAAAATACAAGAGACGTAATTACAGAACTATGTGTTATATAGGGACACTGTAAAACAAAAAGAAATAGTAAAAGTCATTATGGTATACAGCGAAAAAGTTACAAACTCTAAAATTCATAAATCGTATATTACAAGTAATAATTTACAGTTAAATGTGGCTTACTGTTTATACATAATTATTTTTACACACATTTTGTCAAAGCAAATTTTACACTCAGCACACTCTGGAATTTTAATCATTGGGTTCTGATATCATATTACTATGGTGAGTGCGTATATACCAATAAAACATGGTAGTCTATAATTATAAATAACGGTGAATGATAAGTAACACGCATTTGCTAACCAATTCGGCTGGTGACGCCCTAAAAATAACTAGCTCGGCCGTTGGTTGTGTGGAACGCGATCGTAGGATATACCGTGTATGGTATTATCGATAAGCCTATCTATTTACCGAGTTTACCCATCAGACAGAGTAACCACGAGCAAGGTGATCGTCTTTTGGTGCATCACGCGTGCGGCCAAGTGAAATCATGCAGAAGTTCACTGTGGCTGAATGAATAATGCATAAAAACACGGATAGATTGAAGACGCGATATACAGCTGCCCGTGATTTTCTGCGTGTGTTAAATGATGAGGCGGTGGGTAGGGACAGTCGTAAGATCGAGTGCAATTATTAACACAGTTCATCAAAGGGTTACGTTTCCCCGCTCATACGTTTACTTTGATTATGAATGGGCTACAAATAGTTACACTCGGTATTTGCTATGCGTAGCATGAAACTATTGTTTGATATGGCAACTTGTGCGAAATGCAGCTCTGAATGGTAGAATGTTGGGAAAGGAAAGACATTTTGTTCGATCGAATCACATTTTGCTTCCTGTTTGCAGTCGCAGGCACTCCAGTGTGAGTACAGCCCTGCCTTCTCTACCCCCTCAGCACTCGTGTACAATCGTGACACTCTTACTGGGGAAATATCATTTATTCCTAATACTGAATTGCTATTTTGTGACTCTAGAGATCCCGCGACAGGGTCTGCAAAGTGTCGCACCGTTGAACTGCGACAACGCCATAGTAAACTAAGGAATATCTTTAATTAAGCGACATTAAATTGATCGAATCTACATTGGTATGGTACTATGGGTAATCAAGCTGTCATAAGTAAAACCTACTACGAACTTTTCAGCGCATCATTGCCCGATTCGCAATGCACGCCTGCGTCTATACGTATGCCAGATCCATTCTTCGGTATTATTTTCAACATAAGAAAGTTGGCACAGTTCCCCCATCATCATGAATACAGTCGAAGTGATGTAATCTAAACGGGTATAATATAAAACTTTACAGAATCCGTAGAGACGATACACATTACGTGCACGACTCAGCTATTCGTGTGATGACTGATGCACTGCTCTACCGCAGGGGTGGCACCAGAGATTGCCTGACACGGGGACTAAGTTCTTCGACTGTGTGTGTGTGTGTGTGTGTGTGGTGTGTGTGGTGTGTTGTGTTGCGCGTGCGCGCGGGCGCCGCGTGTGTGTGTGTGTGTGTGTGTGTGTGTGTGCGGCGCAGCGCGCGCGCGCGCGCGCGCGCCGCGTGTGTGTGTGTGTGTGTGTGTGTTGTGTGTGGTGTGTGTGTGTGTGTGTGTGTGTATGTGTGTGTGTATGTGTGTGCGTGCGTTGTGTGGGTGTGTTGGTGCTAAGGTCTTCGACTGTGTGTGTGTGTGGTGTGTGTGTGTGTGTGGTGTGTGTGTGTGTGTGTGTGTGTGGTATGTGTGTGCGTGCGTGTGTGTGGTGTGTGTGGTGCTAAGGTCTTCCGACTGTGTGTGTGGGTGTGTGTGTGTGTGTGTGTGTGTGTGTGTGTGTGTGTGTGTGTGTGTGTGTGTGTGTGTGTGTGTGTGTGTGTGTGTGTGTGGCTGGTGTGGTGCCTAAGTCTTCGACTGTGTGTGTGTGGAGAGGGGGAATTATGGTCCCTGTTGCTGAGATGGCTAAGGTCCCTGACGATGTGAGTGTATGTGTGTGTATGTGGGTGTCTGTGGGGGGGGGAGGCACGTCTCTAACAGTGGAGGCCTAAGGTAGCCCAAGGGTATAGGCTAAACGCACAGTGGAGTAGAGAAAAAACGAAATCACAAACATGGGTACGTTTTTAACCCAGATTCAAAGATTTCGAATGGCACCCTCTCGGCGTTTTTGGCAAGAAAAAATGGTCTATCTAATAGTCTCATCTGTAACTAATTGATATAGTGTAACATATATCGTACGTACTGATAGGCCAGCCCTTCTTCCCTGCCGAAGTTACTGCGACTAGCGAAGCACTGCAGGTGTAGATTCCCGAACAGATTTTTTTCCGACCGAGGGGGGAGGTCTGTAGACCCACCTGGCCACCTCCTTGCTGATGCCACCCCTGTCTGTCTACCAAGACCACACGCCAACACGCTGCAGCATCGTGGCAGTACGGCACTACAGGCCAAGGTCTCAGCGATGGCAAGTCAATGCATTATAAGTAAGGTTAAATCGTTGAAAAGCGAATCGAATGCACTTATCGGAGTTCATTCTAGGCGTGTTCTGAAGTTCTGACAGATAGGCGTTTAATCGCGCGAACAGAACTATATACGCGGAATCGATCTGGTGCGACCGTAACCGTAGTTGCTGGCCTAACGATTTAAGGAACAAAAACGTGAACCAAACGCACCGATGTGAGGCCCGGAGGAAGTATGGTCCGTGTTGTACTCCATTACCATTCTGAGAAGCTGGAGCACTTATTAGGCTCTCCCACTTTTATCTCACTCTAATTCTGCCATGTCTGTGTGTGTCCTCTCCTTGTCTCTCTCTCAGGCTACTCGTCTCTTCTGCTCATCATCGTCTCTCTCGCTCTCGTCTCTCGTCACAATCATCTCGTCACATCTCTCTCTCTCTCTCTCTCATCTCTCTCGCTTCGCTTCTCGGCTCTCTCTCTCTCTTGATGCGCGTCTCTCGTCTCTCTTCTCTCGTCTCGCATTCTTCCACTTGCACTCTCATCGCACCTCCTCCGTCTCTCTCTATTCGAGCCGCGCTCTCTCTCCATCTTACACACACATTCTCTCTCTCTCTCTCGCTCTCTTTCTCTCTCTCTTCTCCTCTCTTTTCTCTCTCTTGTTCTCAACTCCCTCTAATTAACTGCAGCACTGTGGACGCGAAACATTCGTGTAACGCTCCGCTTGTCGCTCCGCCATGATGCTCGATTTGCTTAACAGACGCCTTCCGCGCCTTACTTCGCAAACATGTCAACGCCAGACGCCCTGTCAGCAGCTTGGCGTTCGCATACGGCATCACTTCGCGGTTGGTCATAGATCAACGCGCGCGACAGTCGTCGGGCCGGCATATCGTGTCTCGGCCCGTTCAGGCCCGGTAGCGTTCGCGACGACAATGTAGCCTCGCTGCTGATACGTGGTCCGTGTCGCGTCACTTCACTCGTGAGTGCCGCCCTCTGCCTCGGCCTCGTCCGTCTCCTGGCTGCCTCGCGCACCGCCGAAACACGTTATCGCGGCAGTCGTCGTCTCGCGCTAGATGTCGCGGCGGACGGTCGCGCCGTTCAGCAGACGATGGCGCATGGATGTGAGGCGCTATCGCAGGGTCCGATAGGTGACTTCTTCACGGCGAGGGATCGAGGAGAGACCTCTGATCGTCACGGGCCGTCTTGAGAGTTTTTTCCGGGCCTTTCTACGGGCCGTGGTTCGCTCTGCTCTCCGTGAGATCTTGAGGCGCGGCCGGCGTTTGTCGCGTCACGGACGATGCGGTCGAAGATTTTTGATGATCGGTTTTCAACACGATAGATGGCGCGCTGGATTTGATGCTGGATCTGGAACCTGAGGTGGAGATTGCGTCGACTTGCGATCTCCATGTGAGATCTATCAAACATGTCCAGCTTGCTTTCGATTCTTCCACCTGGAAAATAAAGCGTGCCAACATAGTGTTACGCGTAACAGACAAAGAATTGCGCCCGGTATTAACCTGCGCAACTATGTGAACGGTAACGAAGTTGTTGGGGTAGGCATCAAGTTCTAATTCAAGTCAACATTTTCTACGCTACTCGCAATAAATAAATACTCGTATATGAATTTCCGCACTTATATGCTCTCAATAAAAACGCTTCATAGAAATGACTGAATACTCGCAGTTAAAATACTCGGCATATAAATACTGCAAGATAACACTCGCACCGATAAATACTCCGTTGATCACAGCGAGATGAGTAGCAGTAAATTGAAACAGGGAAAACTGTTATACGTACGGATTTCTCTACTATTGAACGATCTGAGCGAAGGCTCGATCTTTTGAGTCATACAACTCTCGTCGCTTTTGAACGCCTGCTTGCCAAGATTTGATCTAAGAACCCCTGTAAGAGTAGAATATATATTATTATATATATTATATATATATATATATATAGTATATTAGGGAGTGTGTGAAGAGAAGAGGGCCTGGAGCCTCTACGGGCACAGCTCGGACTGAGCTACCCCACGGATTTAGCTTTGTGGTTGTGTTGTCCATTATAAATGTACTGATAAAAATTGTAAAAAAAAGTTTTGTTTAGAAATTGCTACACTAAGTTAGCAATGATTCGCAAAACTGCGCACCTAGAAGGATAAGCTTCGAAGGTACGACGACTCACAATCTCAAGACCGTCAGTGGTCATTTTACATGCGACAACACCACCGCAGGCGGATTTTCGAGTGCAGCGGGATTGGAAAAATTCTCGGACCCACGAACATCCACACCACATCCGCAACAGAAAGAAAAGAGAAGCCTATTGATCCACAATCTAACACACCATCCAAGCCATACGGACTCGACCTACGGGCTCGAAATACCGGGATGGATAGAAGATCATCAACAATAACCCGGCCAACATGAATGCAAGCGGCAAAGCTTTCCCTAACTCAGACGAACCCCGCAGGGTAGCGAGATCTTCGATTCACTTTGAACGACATTTACATCTATATCATAGTAAGTATATGATATATATATATATATATAATGCACTTATACAAACGCCGGATGGTCGCTGCTGTCGTCTTACCTAGCCTGTTGTCTGGAACACAAATGCTCTGTATCTTTGGCATGCTAGCTGACGGCGCTGAGTCGTTAGTAGCTTTCTATTGTAACCCTAGACTGACTCCCACTGACTACATTCAAACACTATAGGGTGGAGGTGTTATAAGTAAATGGAGCAATGTTAGTGCTACGCAAGAAATACATTAGTGATTACGGTAACATGTTGTGAAGATAGTTCTATAAGGTTGTTAACTGAAACTAGTGCAATGCTAGAATTACGTAGGTAGACTTAAATCGAATGCGTGGCTAGGGCCACTCTGCTAACTGCGCTCAAATCGGGATGTGAAGATGTTATAAATGAGTGTATATTATGAGAATCTCGGGTGAGTAAAATCTCAGTCTCTCCCTCTCTCTGTGCCTGTCTGTCTCGCTCTCTGTGTGTATCTCTTTCTCTCTTCCTCTCTCTCTCTCTCTCTCTCTCTCTCTCTTACTTTTTCTCTCTCTCGCTCTATTCTCTCTATCTCTCTTTCCCTTTCTCATTCTCATTCTCTCTTCCTCTCTCTGTCTTCCTCGTTCATCTCTCTCATTCTATCTCTCTCCCCCTCTCCCCCTCTCTCCCCCTCTCTCCCTCTCCCCACCATCTCCTCCTCTCTCTCTCTCCCCCCTCTCTCTCTCCCTCTCTCCCCCTCTCCCCCTCTCCCCCTCCCTCTCTCTATGAATAAGAACACTCGCCTGCCCTGCACGTTCTTCACGCGTCCGAGCATGTCGACGTGACCTGCCGAATACTGCTCGATGACGTCCTTCACGTCATACGGTCGCAGCGCCTCGCGAAACTTGCGTCTCGCGACGAAGTAGTTGATCTTGCGTATCGCACGTATCGCCACCTTGTGAGTGTAGGTCAGCTCAATTATCTTCTCTTCAACTTCGGCTCCTGCGGCAATGCAATAATGACGTCCGTACGTCCGTGCAGCTGTTCTGATACTACGTCATCAGTGTGATAATAGAGTGTCATAATATAGATATATAGTCTATAATATAGTATATATATAGTCTATAATATAGTATATGA